TTTTTTTTAAACTATCTATCTTGAGCCAAAAATCTCTTTAAGGCCACATATAGATCATTTTTATTTTCTAGCATCCTATGAAAACAAAAAACAATTGTTGGTGAGCTGTAGTTGCTGCATAGGAAGAATCACAGTAAGAATAAATATATACATTTATGGCTTCTGAAAATCTGTCCAAAATATGCTGAACGTAACATTGTTACTTGAGAAAGACTGACATAATTAACTGATGGTTAGAAGAGCAATTTGTTTTCTGTTCTAAAAATAGTTTTGTTAATAATGAGTGGATTTGCATTGTCTCTTTAAAATATAACGTTTCTGAACCCAAATGAGCACCCATGCTAGTATCAACTATATGGCAGCTTGCTCTGAGGAAATAAAAATCACTTCTAAAATGAAAATATATTCATTTTGTTGCAATTATAAAGGCTCTAACAACCATTCCCCCCCCCCCCCCATCCCCCATGTTAGACCAAAAAAAGACATGGCTGTCTCTCTCCAGAGTGTCTCCACTTTGTGGGTACATGCTGCAGATGGCTGAGGGCTTTGGGGTAATCCTCCACTCTCCTCTGCCTGCCTGTCACAGCCAGTTACGGGTGAGGCTCTCCTCAATGCTTTGTCACTGCCTGCACATATGCCGTCTTTACATAACTGCTTAACTTTAATCATGTCTTTATGTCACAGTTCCTAGAAAGTTCTCAGGCGCTTTAAAGTCGTGTTTGGTGTGCATTAAAAACCTCCTGACTTTGGCAATAAATGCAAATGTACTTTAAATTACATAGTAACACTGAAAATATATATACATATATATGCAATATATCTTACACAACATCAGGCACAAGAAGACAGACCAGCTCAGAGGAAATACAGCAGTACTTTAATCATGGGTACTATTATAATGACATGAAGACTAAAAAACAAATATTTCAGTGCTAGTTAAGCTGTCTGTTAAATTCTGAGTCCATAGCTTGTGATTGTGTTTAAGATTTCTTTAAGGTTAGATTTTATGCACCTTTATATAAATTAGTGGGTGCATAAAAGCTCAAACCATCTTTACACATAACGTATAAAGCAACACCACAAACTACAAAATGAGTTTAGATAGCTGACGCTGGCAGTTTGCACCACTTGGGTTGTCGCTATAGAAAATTTATGACATCAGTCCTGCTTATATATAGAACACAGATGAGCAGTTCTTCCCAGTCAGCAGCTTACATTTATGATTAATCCCATATGGACTATATGCAGCATTTGCTGTGCATGCATCTGAACTGGTGGAGGTTTTTTTTTTTTTTTTTTTTTTTTAAATGTTCTGTGCAACCCAACTAGTGGGAACTCAGTATTTGTGTGAGTTGAGAACAATTCACAGACTTTATTTTTAAAAGCAGTAGCTGGAAACCATGCGTGGTTGCTCTTACTGATTGTATTGATTTCTCTCTTGCTTCAGACTCCCACGACCGTTTCCTTACCTTTAAGGTTTTGGGACCTCTCCACAACACAGTACAGGACGCTGGAGCTGCAATGCCCATATCAAAGTAACCTAGAAAATCTAACAGCGGTTACCCCATCTGCCTCCCCGACCCTGCCAAGCAACACCAAGGACAAGATCAACCCGTCTGTTGTCCCAAAGACTAAAGTCTTCTGCTCCTCTCATCAGATGACAGTAGAGCTTCCCTCTGGTCCCATTTCAGGAATTGTTGTTAAAGGTGTGTGTGTGTGTCCGTGTGTGTGTCCGTGTGTTCCAGATGCATATGGTTGCCATCAGCTCAGCATGAGTTTAATGTTGACATGGTTCAGGGGTTCTGGTGTACAGTGAAGGGGGGTGGGAGGGGAATGAGGGTATTTTTGGTTTTTGTTTTGACTGGGGAACACTTAACCTCTGCCCCAACTTGCTGAGAGCTTTAATGGGGGCCGTTTAACTCAAAAATACCTTATTGTATATCTCCAAATGTATTTTTCAGACATCAAGGGGAACCAGATGAAACTCCAGGAAGCCCCCGAGCACTGTGGGTATTCTACAAGCAAAGGCAAAGATGGCAAAATACATTTAAGTTTCCAGTTACACTCGCGCTGTCATATGAGTGTGCAGGCAAGTATTGACTCAGATTTCACACTGAGCGCATGACCTTTTCTATAATTGACTATTTTAACTCTTGTATAAACATTTTTCCTCTGAAAGGGTAAAATGTACATCATCACTGTTGCCTACATGACAGTAAATGGGAGGAAGGAAGCTCAGTTTTCCTGTCCAGTTGTCATCCCGGGATCTGGGCAAGGTACATAGATTTTATATTTACTCCCCTGAAAGGCTGTTCAATTTGCCAAAGGGTGTTTTCTCCAGGCCATTCAGAGTTATTTTAACTGTGCGACTGACATTTGTCGTGCTGTCCCTCAGAGTGCAACCTTCCTAGCGACCAGCGTCTCCCCTGCGGATCTGGTTCTGTATCCCAGCCACAGTGCCTCTCCATGGGCTGCTGCTTCAACAAGCACCCCCCTGCCTGCTACTACCCCATGGATGGTGAGCCGCAATCTGTGTCCCTACTGGCATTTTCACGCCACTTAGCTGAGTACAGTTGAGCCGTTTTGGGTACGGAAATGTAAGCTCTACAGCTGCTGGATGTGTGAAGAGGCATATTCGGGGCCAGCACAGCATGATTCAAGCTGGCAGTGACACAGAATGTGAAAAGGGTATAAGATACCTTGGGTCTCATTATCAATTGCCTCCTGAGATTTCTGACCTTTTGTTCATCTGACCTTTACATAACTGTGCATGTGTATCTGTGTTTGTGTGTTTGCATGCCCCTCCAGAGTGCACTATTGACCGCCACTTTGTCTTCTCTGTGCCCGCCGCCCTCACTGAGCCCCCTCTTTCCCCCTCCCTGCTCGTCGCTGCCAGCAACTCTACCTGCAAACCGCAGAGAGTGACTTCTGACTACGCCTTGTTCAAGATCCCAATGGACGGCTGCGGGACGCGCAGAGTGGTGAGATTTAATGAATGAAAACACTTTGTAAAGTATTGAAAGTGGTTGAGTAAGACCCAATGTAGGAACTGCATTTATGGACTACCTGATGCAGCTGATGGAGTGTTGATTTAAAGAACAATTTATAATCACATTCTGTGTTTTTCTTCATAATAAATCCCATGAAAAGTTGAATATAAACTTTTAGTTGATCATTGAAGTATTTCCTGTGTGACAAAAGCCTGATATCTTATTCCTTCATGCCATCGATATCCACTAGTGTCCAAAAACTACCATGCTGAACTGAATATATGACAGCCCTGATCACAAGACTACACCCCCTTTTTCCAACATCTGTTTTTGAGAGAAAGACTTTCTGCGGATAGGAAACACTTTGACACGCATCCTGTTGGGAAAGTTTCCCTGAAATACCATTAATCTGAAGAGAGCCCTCCTCATTGGGGCTTTTTCTTTCCTATGAGTAAAATACAGTAATGTGTAAAATCCACTTTTGTGCATCTTCTATTAGTCCAAGACTCTCCTTCTCACCTATTAGACTCTTTATACATTAATACTGAAAAAGAATATCTGATATTGTGAACATGTAATTGAGTCTTCATATATGCCTCCAATTTTTCAAACCTAATTTCCAGGGAGAAAATGGTCTTATATTCGAGCTGCTGGTGTAATAATACCATATCTCTTAGCTACACTGTCACACTGGTAACATGTTCCCTTATTATTGTAAATATGACCACTGCAGTGTCTTTTGAGTCAGTGACCTTTTTTTCAATTTGTATGTCTTCTTATTAATGGGATTTGTACTAATGGAAAGCATTCAGTACTATTTGGTATATGTTACTGTCTGTATACAAAATAGTTTTTCCATTTCTGCCCTGACAGGTGGTGGGGAAAACTATAGTCTATATGGTGGAGGTCATCAACAAGGTTCAGACAATCAGCCTCAACTATGGCACCATCACAAGAGACTCTCCTGTCAGGTCAGAACATGCTACTACCTGTTTCAGTCACCCATGGTGTTCACAGCAAGAATTAAAGCTCCATCGCAGCTGCTACAGACAATCCACTGTCATTATACCAGACATGGTCGTCTCCACTGGGTTCTCGGGCCCTGTGTCTCATGCCCAGTCGTTTTCCTCACTGGTTCTGTTTAGCTGTACAGGTTTGGGTCTCTAAAGCTGAAATTCACTTTTGAATGTATTCAATCTGTTTTGCTGCAACCAGATTCATGATGTAGCTGTTCTCATTGACATGGTTTTCTGTTTTAAATACACCACTAATTAGATAAGCAAAAATCTAAATAATGACAGCTTCTGTGTTGTGAAATTGACAATGTAGACAATTGAAATGAAAGAAAGTCAATGGCAGAAAAGGTTCATCAGAGGCCTTTTTTTTTTTTTTTTTAGATTTAAGGTCACTCAGAACAGTTTTTTAAGACTTGATGTCTGTTCACATCAGAAACGAAATGTGTTTATCCAAACAGTCACAGGTGGAAGGTGAAGCAAAAAGCCTACCATGATGGAGGACAGTGTGTTGCAAGTAACGCCCCTGAAAAAAGGACAAAGACAATACAATACATAAAATGAATGACTTTAATTTGTATTTAATTTATCGTGCTTCCTGACTTCTCCGTTGTTCTCAGGTTGTTGGTGGAGTGCAGGTTCATGCCAGGAGCGCTACTGACTGTGAGCTATGTGGTTAAGAGTCCCTCCCTTGGTCCGGAAATTCACACACAGGGAGTGTTTGGAGTCCAGCTCAGGATTGCCAAAGGTAAATGACTCTCAACTGCTTTTTAATATCCAAGAAATAATAATTGTATGCTTGCTGCAATAAAAGGTACCTAAAAATAATAAAGTAACAATTAATTAAAGTAAAAATGTTTTTTTTGGCTTTTGGAGAACTTCTACCTAGTTTAGTGTGTAAAGTGTAGTTTAAGATGAAATCTCCTTCTGTCTCTTTACACCTATTTCATATGAGATGCCCAGTACAGCAGCTACTACCCACAGTATCACCAGCCCCTGCAGATGTTGCTGGGGAAACCTCTCTATCTGGAAGTACGGCTCCTCAACTCTCCAGATCCCAGTTTAGTGCTGCTGGTGCACTATTGCGTGGCCTACCCCCGCTCAGGAAAAGCTGTGTGGGTGCTGCTTTACAACGGGTATGTTGAAACATCTCCTCTGTGAAAAGAACACGTACAAAAAAAATAATAATAAAAATATTGAGCTCAGCAGAGGAGGAGGCTGCTGTAGAAGGAACAAAAACAAAGATTTACTCCACACAAATATCTGAGTGTTTGCGCTGCAGGGAGCGAACAGGAAAAGTGAAGGGAAGTACAGTCCTGATACCTGTTATCTAACTGGTGCTCTGATTTCATATTCCTCCTAGATGTCCCAATCCTTATGACCCAGCCCAGCTACAGGCCGTGCTGTCTGACCCACAGCCAACTTTTCCTCAGAGTCAGACCCGCCGCTTCACCATCAGAACCTTCCAGTTCCTTCCTGATGGTGAGTTCAAGGACCCAGATGAAGAGGTAAGGATGAGCAGAGACTCTTGAACTGTAGAAGCAAAAGTAAAGAGATACTCTGTAGATATCTGAATACTTTTATTGTGTTTTTAAGTTTCTTTTCCCCATTGTTGTTTCTGTAGTTTTGGCATTAATCCCCTCTTTAATGCGCAGGCTCTAGACTTGAAGTCTGTTTTATGTGTCCTGCCAAGGCATCCCATTTAACATTATGTAAATGAAGGAGTTGTTTTGGAGAATGTCTTTAATTTAACCTAGCATAAAGACTAGAAATGTGGAAATGGCTATTTTAGCCCTGTGCAAAGGTAACAGATCTTCCCATTAGCACATTTAAAGCTCACTAGTTAGCTGGTTTATCTTATGTTTTCCATTTTCAGTATAAAATCTAAAGTAAAAATGACACATTGTAACTTTAGGAGTCTTGAAGATTCTTTTTATCGTTACACAGAGCCAGGCTAACTGTTTCCAGCTAATCTAAGCTAGTCAGCTGAGGTCTCTACCTTCATGTAACTTTTGGCACGAAAATATAAACGCATATTTCCTAAAATGTCACACTGTTGCTTTAATCCTTTTAACCCTACAGCTTTTTATGTGTTGCAGCAAAAAAAAAAAAAAAAAAGAAAAGTCAAAGGTGCAGCTGTCTGCCTGTGAATTTACCCCCAGGGAATGGATCAAGTCTTGTTTTAGAGTAGAAGCTGGTTGGTAGTATGTGACTGTTCCCTTAGGGCAAATTCATACAGTTTGTCTTTTTATTGAGTAGAAGTATCACATCTTGGGAAAATGAAACTATTGGCAGCTTTATCTCTAAATCTCTCTGTCAGCATTCATTATGAGGAGATGGGGAGAGGCCATTTTGTAAACTGAAAATTTTCTGGCCAATTCTGAATTGCCAGCAGCTGTTTGTCATACTACACTGCACGCTCTCAAGACTGGACACAACATCAAATTCTGCTCTGCTTGTGCCTCCCTCTCAGATCTACTTCATGTGTTCAACCGAAATCTGCTCGCCACGTGATGGGCCTTGTGTCGAGGGATGCTTTGGCCAGTGATGGTGAGGAAAATCAGCTGTCTGTCCGCAAAACATCTACTACACCCTTATGATCTCTGGTGAATCCTATAAAAACGCCCATGAATGGGCCCCGTTACAAGCCTCCTCCACCCGGAGAGCAGCCTGAGAGTCTGTAGTCGCTACAGTTCCATACGACAGCAGGACAATGTTTTAGTAATGAGGAGAGTTTTGAATTATTTATCAAGACTGATCTATTTCCTGTTTTTCAGTTACGACATGGAAGACACAAGAAGTTAGTCGAGATGATGATGTGGTGAGTCGCACAGCAATTGTGTTCAGCTCCTGTTTTTATTCCCCAGAATTACTCTCTGACCGTATCTTCTCTTCACTTTGGCAGGTCTCAGACATCACTCGTTTAACTACCAATAAAAGCTCTTAAATAACACAAGGGGTGTTTGTGTGCTTTTGTTTCTCAGCTTGCAGCCATTTAGGTTTTACAGAAGGAAGTGGCACTCCATCAAAAAGTGGGAGGCAGCATTGTTTGCACAGACACATGGTCGGTGTGGAGTAGACTGAACTGGAGTGAGACTTGGGCTGAAAGCTTTGTCGAACTTTATGTGGAGGTTTAACAGGTTTCAAGCATTTAAAGGAAAAATGTTTGAGCAAGATAACTAGAGGCTATGGATGCAACCAATCTGCCCTGAGCGAGGAAAACAAAGTACGATGCATCAGTGAGGGCATTGCATCTGAGTGGGGACTTGTGAGTATTTCCAACCAAGCTGCATCACACAGGCACACTTAACTTGCTTGGGCGTGTTGGAGCAAAAATGAGCTGCTGGGCTTCTGTGTGCGGTATTGGTTTTTTGGTTTGTTTGTTTTTTTGCTGGAATATTACTCAGCTTTAGGTTAACTGATAAAATGGCATGTTCCCTCATATATGAGCCTTAAAGTAATTAAATATAGCACCTTAAAGGACCCTCTTACATGATATTACCCTTCTCATTGTCCAAAATGCAGCAAGCCTGAGGCATTTGGTGCCCTAGGACATTGCAATACACACGGTTAAAACACCAGCCAAAGTAAGCAATTTGTATTTATTTATTTATTTATATTATATTTATAGTGAGGATCATCTAAAGCAGGTTGAAAAAAACAAACACATGCACCTATTAGAGGCAGAATTTTAAAACCCATAAATGACACTGTTAACAATGACACTTTTTTATTTATTTATTTCTAAATTACATTTTGGGAGATGACTCAAAAAAACAAGCCTCTCTACCAGCACCTCTAAAGCTCATTAGGTAACATTGTTTTTGAAAAATTCATATGAAAAAACAAAGCATAAAAACTATTTGTGGTGGATCATGTGGCAAACAGTGGAGACTTAAGGAAGTCACTTCTCCCTGCCAGAAAACATGTTTAAACCACAACTTGTCATTTTTTATTTTGATTTTTCTTTATTTATTACATTTTGAAGGACTTAAATAACAAGACACAGTAATGTGGTGAAGAGTGAGCTTCTGAGGTGTTTGCCTGTAGATTTTGTCACCTTCAGACATAGCCAGGCTAGCAGTTTCCCTCCATTTCAAGTCTTTATGCTAAGCTACGCTAACTGTCTCCAGGCTCCCGATACAGCATGAGTGGTTTTGGTCTTCTCAGCAAGAAAGCAAATAAGCCTGTTTCTAAAAACAAGTTATCAAATCACAAATAAGGAAATTAGGAAGAGCTATGAAACAAAGAAGTGTGTTGTTGTTTTTTATTACATTTTGGAAAATGAAACCAACCGCCACTAGAAGAGAGTAAAAGACTGTAGCTGTAAAACGGTCGAGCCAACACATCCACAGCCTTGCAAGGCAGGATTAAGATTTTAAATATCAGCTTTTGCTTGTACAGTAATTTGCTCGAGCAAATTGCCTTTGAAGTATTTGCTTCTCATGGTACCCTTTGACCACTGGGTGTCATCCAAGCAATAAAAATGCCAGAGGAACATAAGGTACTCCATGCTGCATGACTCACAGCTGGGCTTGTGTGAAGACCTTGGCCTGGCTGTTGGTTGTGTAATGAGTTAAGCATGAAATCTTCCAGTGCAGCCCACCTCTTTAATATTCAGCCATGTGATGTGACCACCATTAGGCAGCAGAGGAAAACTGTTTTTAGGACAATTGCGCACACGTAGAAATGCGCAAAAGGAGCACTTGATTTAAAGATTGTTTTTTTAAGGGGGGGGTGGACTGTAAGAGCATAACAGTGTCTCCGGGACCACAACCCCCCCCAATCAGCCCTCACACACACACACACACACACTGACACGTTTCCCTGAGGGGAGGGAAAATGTATGGAAGCACTGCGGCACACTGCGTGTATTGCAAGCTGCATGGTTGCCTGGCTCAGCGTTCAAAGGCAGAGCGGAAGATAGGAGGAGGGGAATGACTACACCAAGAGAGTAGGAGGAGGAGGGAGGGAGGACAATTTCCTTTCTGTAACACACACGCTACATGAACACACCGGGAAAAACGGAGAGAGGAAAGAAAATAAGCGAGAGAGGGAGAGAGAGAGAAAAGGAAACACCGCAGCCCCTGCGTCCGTCCGTGCGTCCTTTGGTTGGTTGTGTTGTGTTTTGTTTTTTTTGTTTGTTTTTTTTTTGTTTTTTAAAGAAAGCGTCTTTTCGTTGAAAAACGCAGACTTGCGGACTAACATGGGAAGCTGCTGATGAGGATTGACTTTCAGTGAACCTCTGCTCTGTGGTACAAGTCTGTGGCTAATAGGGAGGAAAAAGGCGACAGGGAAGACATGTTGAGGGGTTTTTCGTCTTGAGGTTGCGGCAGCGTGTTAAAACACACGGCTCTCGTAGAGGAAGAAAAAAAAAGAGGGCAAATGGAAACTGGGCGGTAGGCGAAGCTCAGGAGCCATTGTTTTGATCGGTGTTTGCTTAATTGGTTTGTTATGATCTGAAATAACGTAGGCCTCTTAGGCAGCCCCGCAGTAAATAAATACACGGTCAGCAGACAGGGGCTACACAGCTGCAAAATAACCCGCATTGTTTTTAAACTGAGCCGCTGTGCTTTGGAATAAGGAGAAAGCAGTGTTTATAGTTCGTTTTTAGGTGCAAATTCTTAACCAGGGAAGCAAAACATTTCCAGATACATCAACTCTTAAAGGGGGGCGGGGGGGGGGGATCATACAAAGGCCCAGTGAAAAACACAGAGAAGGCTACTTGGCATATTAAAGTCAATCCAACACCGACTTGCTTTACGCACAGAGGTGCACCGGATTAGGTTTTTAAAGACCCAGTTTAGCTGAAGGAAGGGAACAACAGAAGATTTTTAAATGTTAATGTCGACCGACGTTGCATCCATCATGCTGCCTGTGTCCCGGGGTCTCATAGACCGGGATAGAGAGCTGGAGACCATGGCCGGGGTGCATCCCAACCCGGGCGGCGCTCCGGCAGCTGTCCGGGGCATGAAGCGCGGAGACCCGGAGCCCGACGGACAAACAGCGGCGGCTCTGGTGGACTCGGCCGGGGCGGAGTGCAAGCGTCCCCGCATCGACGGCTCAGGAGGGATCGGCGAGGTTGGTCAGGTGAGGAGGGAACTCTTTTGTCCAAATACAGTATGAAAAAAAAAAAAACAGACACGACTGCGCTCCTCGCCGTGCTCTTGATGTTCTCATGTTTTCTATAAGCCTGTTTAAGTGCATCTATCGTCCACCGGCTCACTGCTTCTATTGTGGTTACATTTGTGATCTGCTCACATGTTTAAGTGATAGTTGCAGTAGCTGGTTTGCAGTTATAGCTCCTGCACAAGGCCCTTCATATCCTCTGCTCAGTCCATTACCAGCTGTGCAGGAAATACCACCACGTTTCCCAGCTGTAAATGACCGTGCATGCTTTTAATTCAGTTTTAAGAGGGAGCTGGAATAGTAACGATGCAATCCACGGTGTTAACAGGGCTGTTAGCTGCCACATTGCAGCTCACACAGCAATGTAAAGGAGGAATTGCAACCATGCAGTGTGTATTAACCCGCTGAGACACTCTCCAGTAAGAACATCTTTCTGGTTTATGAATATCTGCAAGAAACACAGACAGAGTCCCAGCAGAGGGTGGAGAATGTAAACAAACCTGACCTTTCATTATGCAAAAAGGAAAAAAAGAAACACTGCCATGTGGCATAATGGTGTAGACTACATTTGGGAATTGATGTCAGTGTTTGCCTGTTTGGTCTTTGAGGCGGTAGGGCAGACTGTAGGGGCTATTTGAGGTAAACAAAGACCACCAGTTTTATTAGGGGCGATCGGGCCCTCATCTAATCAATCTAATTACCTTGATCTTCACGCCCTGGCTTCTATTAACTAGACTACCACGCTGTTGGGAGTGACCTCTATTAGGTGTTAAACTATTTTTTTTCAGTGTCAGCAAAATCAATTTGCTGATTTTATTTTTATTTTTTCCCTCTCAGTGACCCATAAATGGTAGAATATTGTTGTTAACAGAGCCTCGCAGTGGGGCGGGGGGGCTGCTCGGGATATCATTGGGGTTGATTATGTCGGTTGAAGTACTCCAGTGGAAGACAGAAAGCTATTTCTCTGTCACTGAAAGCACCAGTAATGGAGGTGAAGTGGCCTGTTTGCTCCTGTTTGGGGAAGCTAAATGGCTGGCTTTACATCGCCGTGCTGTCGGTGAGTGCTGACAGACAGGCTCAGAAATGTAATGCACTTAAAAACAGATGTGAGTGGAAGTGTGTTTGTGTGTGGGAGAGAGGGAGAGAGAGAGAGAGAGAGAGAGAGGGAGAAGCACAAGCACAGATCAATAGCTCTAGGCCCTAAAATGTATTGAACGTGGAGCGACTGGACAGTCCGGAAATGAGAGTGGGAGAGATGCCCCCCCTCCTTTGCTCTCAGTTGGTGCAGGAACAGATTTGCCCTATCACTGGCAGTAAAGAGGCTTTGTTTCCAGCTAATGGGATCACATCTCATACTGGAGGGGGCATTATAACCACACTGATGTCTGAGATGCTTATTTAAATCTGAGGATTTATAGGATATCCACACTTACACACATACACACACACACACAAACATATTGGTAAGATCCAGATGAAGATTGTAATGTAGAAATTTGTGCAATCAGTAGTCGATTCATCAAAAATTAATCACCAGCTGCTCTCATAATCGACTAATTCTCTCCCACTTTTCTTCTTTTGTGTCAAACGCTGAATATCTCCAGGTAGTGAATATTTTTGAACTGGACAAAATCAGACATTTCAAGGCATGACTTTGGACTGTGATGAGCATTTTTTCATTATTTTAAATGAGAAGTTAATCTTGAATGGAAAAGAGGCAACAGTCACAGCTCTGAATTTGTTTTGTGACTCCCGAAGCTCCACTGGGTTTCAATCTGAGCTTGGCCTTTTCAAAATAACTCCACTGTATAGACTATTTTTTTCCTCTGTGGTCCAGTGCCTCACACAAAACAACTGCCCTCCAATCCCAGCGTGACTATATAAAACACTGTCATGTATTTTTATTCCTCTAACCCGGTGACACCATTAATATTCTAGAAGCGAACTGGCTTGAGTGACGTTCAGATTTCTTTTTTTTTTTTTTTTTATAAATCGGAGCTCTTGACTTTCCAAGAAACATCTATAAAAATGCAGGGAGGTGCTTTTGTAATCTTCAGAAAACTATAAAGGATGGAAAATATTACAGCAAGCAGCAGCCCGGCTCTTGAAAAAGCACAGAATCTCCCTTCCTTAATCCTTTCCATCCTTTCTTTGAAAAAAAAAAATAATAATAATAATTCCTTTATTGCTGACATCACTGCAAGAGGTGAACTCTGACCCGCACGTGAAGCCAAACACAATAGGGTGTGGTTGTGGTTGAGAGCAATCCATTTTGCATCACTGCAGCCTAATAATGGACTCTTTCTCATTCGGTTATTGACACTGCTGTTTTCCTCATTAGGGTGTGATGTCACCACAGCGCAAAGGGGAAGAAACCTCTGTCAAGTCAAATCTGCAAAGTTCTTGTCGAGCAGCAGTGCATTTATAAATCTGTGCAACAAGTAGTAGATTAATGAGTGCTCGACTCGGCTAACGTGGGCAAAATGAAGCCAGCGGAAGAAAAAAAGAAAAAACTTGAGTGGTTTCAGCAGTCTGTGTTCACATGTTTGCCGCCACTCGCCAAAATTAGCTTGGTGCTGATATTATTCAATAATGTGAATTTTAAATGAATATTGAGTGTGGTGCCCCCCCACCGCCAACACATGATCAGTCTGTTTCACATTCCAGTGCAGCATCGGTGAATTTTTCAGGGGATTCATAACAACACCCTGCATCTTCGGCCCGAGTCAGATTGTGGGAAATGTTGAGAGGAGGTTGTCGGCTTCAATATCCATCTGGCCCACTGCTGAGCAGCCCGTGTTTTGTTGTCACTCTGCGTTGGAACCGGGGCTCTCTCTAACCTAATAAGGTCCTGCCTGCGGTGACAGCACCGAGGACAAATGACTTGACTAGGACATTAATGTAGGTGGATCACCCCTCTGTACTTTCATCTCAGCCCCGGCACTGAAATAGTATGAAAACGTCAGCAAGAAAGATGTACTCCTACAGCCCGGTGGAGAATATTTGTTTAGTTTTTGGGCCCCTGTTTTTGCTGTGATAAATTGCTGGTAGAACTCCGTTGACTGATTTGTGTTCGAGAGAGTCCATCAGTGTTTTGGGACTCTTCTCAGGGGAAGATTTGATGTGCTTAAAGTGTCATTATCCTCACATATCAACTGCAGTTAAGTGATTTGATGCTCCTGTGGTGTGTCTGGTTTATAGTAGGATATTAATTCATGCTTATTTAAAAGTTAGGCTACAACTGGTGCTGCTATGAGCTTTTTCTCACTGTTAAAAATATCAATTAGTCAACCAGGACATTAAATACATCGGTATACAATCAATGTGCAGCCTCTGTGTTGGTCAATATGTCTAAAATAATAATAGTAAGTAAAATAATTGTAGGAAGCAGTCTAATTACTGCTAGAATGATTTGTGAAGTAGCAGAGGATTAATTAGCAACCCCTTTTAATGCTTTTTCAGGCAGTAATGCTCAAAAGTTGCCATATCCAGCTGCTCAAATGTCACAATTTCAGAAGCTCAAACAGCTTTCTTTTTTTTTTGTTATGTGATCACATAATGCACTGAGTAAATTGACTGGTTGGGAAACGTTTGAAAATGCAATTTCCTAGATGTCACCTTAGGCTCTGCAAATTGTAATGGACATTTTTAGCGAAAGTCTGGCATTTCTTTAACCAAACAGTCAGCAAAGTAATGTGCAGATTAATCAATAATGAATATAGCTGTGACTCTGGAAATACAAGTTTGGTCATTTGTTTCTTAGTTGTTCCACTTTTTCACTCTCCTGTACTTTCTGAGTTGTTGGTGTAGCTCTTTTTTTAATTAACAAATGTAACAAACCCCCACCGACATGTCAAAAATGAACAGAAGTCGCCATGTTCTTCCTAATACGGGCCTCAGCATCAGTCCCAAACACCCAGTATGAGTCTTGAGTTTCACTGGAATGATGTTGAAATGAAGTAATCATTATGGGCAACTATGTTGTGCAGTAAATAATTACAAGCAAATTCTCTCCTATCAGATCTTAAATAAATTGGTGGTGGTGGTGAAAATGACAGCTTTATTTTGAGATGCAGATCAGTGCAGCGGACATCGGTTTCATTATGCAGCATGTGATTTGGCAGCCGATGCCGCTATATGATTACCTTTATGCCAGGATTGTAGCACCAGCTTCCAAAATCCACTGACTCCAGCCAGCATCCCCTTGAAAAATCACGTGTAGGTTTGCTGTGGAAAGTGAGAGGGATGTGAGGTATATTGAAGGGAAAATAAACTTCAGATGGTCTGGCCTGACTGGAGGCTTAGCACATTAGTGCTCTGTGGAAGAAATGGATTCACATCCTCTTGAGTGTATGGAGTGCCCTGCTTTGCAGTTAGGTAGGATGACTCTCAGAGCAGTGAAATGTAGTTCCTCTTCTCCTCCTTCCTCAGAAGTCCCAAGACACGATAGGAATAGACACAAGTCTTGTGACTAAATTAGACAACACACAAAACAATCACACACACACCTTCCACCACCTGTAGTTTTTGGACACAGTGGATTATTGTTGCCATGTGAGGAGGAAACCTGAAGGTAACCAAGCTTGTCATCCTTCACTTCATTTCAGATTTTGTTATTACAGGGCTCCTCCTGTTCGCTCCCCCTCCCTCTGCCCCGAGCTCCCCTCTCTCTCTCCTCCTCCTCTCCCTCCCTCCTTCCCTCCCTCCCTCCCCTCCTCTCTCCCTCTCCCTCCTCCTCCTCCCCCTCTCCCTCCTCCTCACCCCCTCTTTGCCATCTGTTGACTTCAGGTCATTTTGTTACTTTCTCCTGATTGCTCACTCGGTCTTTCCCTGCAGTTTCTTCTGTTGTTTTAGCCACCCCGCCCCCAGAACCACTGCTATCACCACCCCCAGACGGGATTCAGCTGTGCTTCATTTGTCACCAAACAACAAAGAAAGCCCAAATAAGGTCGAACCGCGATTAACTATGACTGTGTTAAGCACAGAATCTTATTGTTTCTCTCTCTCTAAAAAAAAAAAGTGACTGTGGCGCTGAGAGTGAGACACACTCGTCTTGAGCAGCCTCCACGCAGCCCTCCCCTCTCATCCCTCCCAGTTCCTTAAGGAAATTAAGCACATGACTCCGCTCATGTATGAGTCATTGTCTCTGCTCCCTCCATCTCGTTTTCTTTCTTTTTTTGTTGTTGTTGTTGTTGTCCATTTCCCCGTTGTATTTCCAGCTCTGGTTCCTTTCTCTGCTTCTTGCTTCTATGAATTCCAGATGCTCCCAGATGTGCGTCTTCATTTCGATAACATTGTGCTGCTCCATACGTTTCTTTCTGTCTCCTCCTGTTTGGTTTTCTTCCTCCATACCTTCAGTACACTGCGTCTCGAGTTTGTCCTCGCTGTAAAATACGATTTATACTTTATTCATGTTATTCAAGCCTCTAAGAGCTGTTTCATTATTTAGAGCTTCTACCTCCCAAAGCCAGTTCACTAAGTACATTTTTGGCTTTGAGATAGACTCGCGCAAACTGCATTTTTCAATCTTGAAGACACTTCCTGCTCCTTCCTCCTCGACAGAGCCTTACATTTGGAAACGTTGTGCTTAGTTTTAGTGAAATGGCCCCATGGGGTCCGGAGTTAGATGGCTACAGTATTAATCAGGCGAACTCAAGCTGTGAAGCGCACAGAGCAAAGTGTTCCCCCCGGGGACAGAGCAGACGAGGGACATTGGTTCCAGATGAAAGGAAGATCAGAGGGGAAGGACAGAGAGAGTAGAGAGGAACGGAGTTGTTTTCTAATCTAGTGATATGAAGTCGGTGACAGGCAAATCTGTTTTCCCCCTTCAAAGTGTGTTGTAATTGCTGTGAAAAGCACCCTTTTTAATGGAATACATTAGCATAAAAGCCGGAACACAGTGTTATGAGTATGAATAAAGTGAGTTACAAACTATTTTAGGGAGTAGGGACGTGATTTCTGTTTAATATTTGGCTCCAAACAAAAATGATTTCTTTTCTCTGCGTCTTGTTTTACTGTAATTACTCACCAGATGTTTGATGTATCCGTTGCTGCTTTACACAGCCAGAACATTGAGAGGAATGTGTTGGAGATTGCATCACGGCTCATGATCGCATTTCACACCGATGGGCTTCATGCTCGCTGACACTCCTGACCTATTTATGATTTAAGAGCCGTGGTGACACTCGTTCTTTCTTCCCTGTCTTTCATCTCCGTGCTCGCATGATCTCACTCGCCCCCGTTATCACATCTTTTACAAGCAGCACAAAAGATCCGCTGGGTGGAAAACTCTGGAGGAGACTGACTTGGGAGATAGCAGGAGTGTGTCACTGATGGAGTTAATTTGATTAGGAGTCAGAAATTCCACGCAGCCGTAAAGTCAAATATGGAGACATGACTGAAAGGGGGAATATAGAATAAACAAAACGGCATTCCTGAGCAGTGAAAATCATATCAGGAGAAGGGATCCTTTTTGAATTACAAATTACTGACCATGTTTCCAAAAATCTGCATTTCTCTTTCAGAACAACGATCCTTTGACCCTCGGTTACCATGGATACCCGTCTCACAGTCAGGTAAGGGCAACCGCAAACACATGCAAAAATCCATGTTGTATAATGTGCTCCCATTCCATCCTTCCAATATTTCTGTTTTATCTGGTTACACTATTCATATAGCATTATTATGGTTCAGTGTAGCTCTCTAAACCACAAGGTGGGGGTGTGGATTATAATTTATCGCTTATGTAGAAGAAGACATGCCTCCACAACCTTCCCTCTTCCAGTGTTACCCTCCTCCTACTTCCCTTTCTACTCTCAATCATCAAAGACAATATTAATCATCTTTCGGCTTGTAAATCTAAATCTTTTCTTCTCTTTTAGCACCTTTAAAACTGCCGATATTCTAGTTTCTCTGCCCACAAAGACACACTCTTAAAAAGAATCAGCTGTGCAGCATGTTTTGTGTGAGCTTGTCTGTGTGTAAGGCCTACAATCTGTTTGCTTGTCTTTGTATTAGCCTGCTGATTGTGTTATTAGACTGTTCAGTTTATGTGGTTAATCCTGAGCTCATCCTCCGTTCATCCACTCATCCTCTCGTGCTCTGCCCGTAATCCCCTCATCCCTCGCTCTTCGTGATGCCCAGCAACCTCTGGCTGCTTATCTGCACTTTATCTGTCTTACGTCTTGACTCGTACCCTTTAATTTGCTTCAGTATGAGAGCAGTGTTTTTTTTCATGGCACTGTCAAATGGATATTGCGGAAGTCCGGAAGTCAATTAGACAGTTTGGATTCACTGTAAGTTCACAGAGCTTTGAATCCTTTTTTCTTCGTAATGATAATGGTCAAGAGTCTGTCTTTACGTGAATGATCTTTCATTGGGATGGAGAGAAGTCAGTCAAGGACTACTTGAGGGGCTTGAAAGTGTGAACTTGCCTCTGACCAGGAGGAAGAAAAAAAAGAAAAGGCAGAGAGGAAGAAAACAATGCCGGCCAGCGGAGGCTTCCACAACACTGAGGTGCTAAACTGTCAACAGCAGTGTGAGAATGATGTGATCAAAGGCTCCTGAAAGGAAGAGCCTGGAGAGTAGCAGAAGCCCTGTGTGTGAAGCAGGAGACAAGCCCTATGCAGATGGATTATGAAACTAGGCTGGCGTTCTCTGTCTGTTGAAGTGATTTGAGGTAGTCTTTTTTATACATGTAGATAAATCAGGAAGTGGTTTTATTCAGACATCACAGGATGCATATGTCATGTAAGGCTCACGCCATATTTGCCACCTGGTGAGTGAGAGGTAGCACAAATTCTCTTGCAAAACAGAGGCGAGCTGCCAAATATCATGATTTTTAGGGTGACAAGGGGTTTTCTGTTCTCTGGTGTGCAGCAACACAGAGAGATGTTGAAAATTTGTGTCACCATTGAAGCCAAGTTAAAGCCCATTGCAAGGGTTTGCTCGCGTACTGGATGTAAGGTTTTTGGCTGAGTATTAATTCTGTATGCAGTCTGTGTAAATGTGAGTTGAAAATTTGCAGAGATACACACACACAGGGGGAAAAAAATCCAAATATAAAAGGTGCCTAACATGAGTATCTCCTCAGCAGCTTCAAATATGCACAAGAATCCATAATAAAATTACATATTTGAGAGTGTGAACAAGGCAGCTGCACTCAAATATTTAATTCCTCACAACCCTTAAGTCTTTATTTTTAAGCGCAAGTATAAATTATTGACAGGAAACGATGCCTATATGTAGTGTATGCTATGCTAAAGGCAAATTCCTGCACGAATACAGTATCCCTGTGACGTTGCTGATGGTGTTCTTTAGTCTTTCTGTATTAAATTGTTGTGAAGTGATGACGGTTGTGTTGGCCGTGTTGGCCGTGTTGGCCGTGTTGACGCAGGTTGTTCTATTTCAGTTGTATGTCTGATAAAGTCCCTGCTTAAGACATGTTTGGTGCCCCCAGTGGTGTCGTTTCATTCTGAGAAAAATATCCACTAAAGACTCCAATGTGTTCACCAGCTTCGCTAAGTTTATGTGTTTGCTGCTTTGTGGTGGAGATAACTCATGGTGGCTTTTTGTTTTGCCCGCAGCTGCTCGAAATGAGGTTGATGGAAGTGATGAGAGTGAAACCAAAACAAGGAGCTGAATGCTGCTAAAGTGCTGGAGGAAACTGCAGTTACTGCTAGTTTTATGAGTGAACCTTTGCACTCATTTGACCCTTTGTTATTATAAAATCTATTGATTAGTGCAGCTTTGAAGATTGTAACAGAGGCGATGATATTCAGGCATGAGCCGTGCTGCAAATGTTATGAAAATGTGACTGGGTCTGACCTGATTGCAGTCGTGACTCTTGCAGGAAAAATGACTTGAGATGTGAAATTGGCATGTAATATTATCAGAACATTTGTGTAGCAAGGTG